CCGCGGGAGGGGGGGAGGACGCAGACGATGTGGACGATTTTATCGCACAGATCAGGGCAGACACGACGCGCCTGGAGGATATGCCCAAACCTCCTCCTGAGGAAATCACCCTCCTGGACATCTTAAACATGAAGGATCCCATCAGGGGGGAGGCTTCGCTGGGGGAGGGGGAGAAGGAAGGGGGGGAGCAGGTAGAGAAGGTGGTGGAAGATGATGATGTGGACACAGTTCCTTCTAAACTGGAGGCTATAGATTAAGTTGCATCTTAGGCCACACCAATTTATTATATCCTTAGTTCTCATAGTCTGAGTGTCAGCCTTTTTAGCTTTCATCCGCTCCCCAATATCCGCTACTGGCAGTGGGGAGAAGACAAAAACTAAAAAGGCTGACACTCGGGCTATAGTTGTGTGAAAATATAGCAAGATGACATCATAAACTCAGAGTACAGAAATGAAAGCTTGAGTATGTATTCACTGCATAAAACTGAGAACACTGAGACATAAATCTGGTCCTTAGGCTATGTTTACCAGGGGTATTATGTTTTTCCAGTTAAGCATAATTACCCTTAACAAATCTGAGAACCACCAAGTACAAATTGGTGTGGCCATAAGTTGCATAGCTGAAGAGCAGGAAATATTGGATCTTGGAAAAGTAGAGTACAGTTTTACAGCAGGTAGAAGTGAACCAGGTTGTTGTCAATCAATCAGTAAAAAACGCCAAAATGTAATTGATTTTCTTCCTTCATCAGGGGAATATGTTACCTTTTTTCTTAATCACACAATGGCCCAGGCAGAATATGACTGTGATATGATATCACACTTGTTTGTGCTTTCTTCAAAGCAGAAAAAGTACATCAGTAACGTTACATGTTGAAAGTACATGTTGAAACGTAATAAGCAAATATCTAATGCTCCTTGTAGTATGAATGTTTCATACATGTAGGATGGAGAAAGAAAAATCAATTTGATAACTACTGCTATGCAAAGTTGCACAAAAACGTTTTTCACAGTATTAGATAAAGTTAAAGCTTCTCAGATGCCCCCCCCCCCAAAAAAAAGTATTAAATGCTGCTACATGAGTTTAACATATGCCCAATGCTTTTGGAGCATCCCATTTGGCATTATGGGGGAGCTACAACCCTTTTGTTATAAAACAGGTGCTAGTTTTGTGCCTGACTTTGTGAGGTGAAATCGTTGTTGTTATAGTTTGCTGTTACCATACCTGCATTTTTGGAGGGTTTTGTGTTGTTGTGTGGTGTTAGGTAGTCTAACAAACTGGAAAGGAATCTGATCATAACATACAATGAAGAACGTTATAATGATTATAATGTCATTGATTCAATGCAATATTTGTGATTTTTATGTATTGATCTTGCGGCAAGGCTTGATCAAGCTTTTGGCAATTTTTGGTATACTTCTACAGTGAATAATAGAAGACTATTATACAGTCCCTGCAAATGTATACTGCACAGAATAGAAAGAAATGTTAGCACAAATCTGAAAGATTGCAATTTAGATATGAGATGCCCCTATGAAACAAGAAATGCCAAAGCTCTGTTCACTTTGTATAAATCACAACTTAGTGACTCGACAAAAGATACTATTTGTAACAAATTTCAACCTAATGTACAAATTAAGAACAAAATTAAACTATGGCACGAAAATCAGTTCGTCAACCTTCGTGTATCTTTTAATATTTATCCATACATAAATGATTTCTCAACATGGCATTAATTTTCATAGGATATAATAAGCCTTATTTGATGCCCTGCCAGTTTGTAGAAAGCCTTGATCCTCTTGCGCAGAATTTTAATCTGATTTCTAAATGCAGACACACATAAAAATCGGGTTAGTATCGGGTTGAACATATTCCACTACCAGTGAACAGCAAGCCCCCTACTGTAGTGTCCTGTGTATGTGTAGCCCAAGGGCTATAGAAACAGATATGGGCACTGCCCTTATACACCAGATCATCCTCCCTGATCCATTCTGAAATGTACCACACATAAAAACACAACACGTGACCATTTTCTAAGCTTTATTCGCAGCTACACATTGGCTTCACAAACCAGAGGAAACTGCAATTCAGTCCCAACAGTCTGTTCGCTTTTTTTTTTCTGACTACACATCATTATTCCGGGTACATAAGGAGGTATACAAGTAGTGTTTGTGTTGTACATCTCATCTGCTTTGGTAAAAAGCATGGCAACCTTGCTTCTATTGCAGACCCTTCTATTACAGAACTTCTTCAATCTTCTTTTGTTAGCAACAACTATGTGTGATTGCTGAGATCTCGGCAGGCAATCAGATCATCGCTGCTATTGAAACCAGGGGTCTGCAATAGAGGCTTATGGAAACCACTGTAGTTCAAACTTTGCAGCGCTTTCCACAGAAGGAGAACCTGGTTGAAAGAAACTTATTCCACAGCCTGCTTTTTACCAGTGACATGATCTGCAGTGTGACACTGTCTCAAATTCGATCTTCCCACCGTTGATGGTACCAATTCAAATTGGGTGCATAGATGCACCCTTACCTGCAAGGGGGTATGTCTGTTCTGAAAATCCTATGTAGCAAACAAGTTGTGTTTGCTCCCTTTAGCCCCAAACAACTACAGGAACCAAAATACTGAGCCTTTTATGTTCCTTATTTACCATAACAGAAATAAAGATCCGGACAGTGAGTGAGTGTGTCTTTCATTCATGTTATGATACACAGCCTGCAGGTCAATGTATTTTCTGGAAATGTAGATGTTACCATAGAAGATGTGAGCACGTGAAGCTTTTTAGAAAGAGAGGAGTGTTTCCACACTTATTAACATCTGCTAGACTTCAATCAAAGCAAGGACAGACCTCTTCATCGCCAGTAAATAGATTTATTTTTAGGCCTCAACATTCTGACATAGCTTTGCTCTTGAACAAAGAAATAACATGCATCAATTTCAACAGACTTCATCTCATACAAAGCCTTCTCAGAATTCTCACAGACACAATAAGTGTGCATATGTATTGTTGTCAGGATACTATTTTTAGTTTCTGGCTGGCAATCTTTGTTGTGTATAAATATTCAAGTAAACATGTCCATGCATATGACACAACGTGACCCAGACTGATCCCAGCATCAGACAGACTAATGCACACTTTTCTTTATCCTCCTCTTTTTGTTTCTTTAAACTGCCATTTCTCCTCAAAATTTTACATCTCAGTACTCTTTCAATACCGTTTTCTCCATACAATACTGAAAATAACTCCAAGTTTCAGTGACCAGGGTTCAATATCTGGAACCTCAAAAGTCAGTTGCTCAGCTAGAACTGAGAGAACCATACAGTTGCCCCTTTTTGCAGATTCACAAAGTTACAACCAGTTACCAGCTTTGCCACATAAGGCACATACATTTTGTATACTCGCCCCTGAACAACTCAAGCCTACCATGTTACCGCACATACTGCAAGGTTAAGCTATAACCTTCAACCTTTACTACCACATAAGTGACACTGCTGAAAGACAAATTCTTTGCCCTTGTCAATCCAAGGACATTACATAGGCACCCCAGCTCATGTACCTGACATTACAAGGTCAAGTCAGCCTGGGGGAAATAACCTCTGAACTCTAACCTTTGCCACCGACCTAGAACAACAAAACAAGTGCCACTGCCAGAAGACTCCAACTCAGGATGGACGTGTGCCAGAAGTAAGGTCATATGTAGGTCAGGAGAAACAGGAAGGAACCCAGCAAGACTAAAACTGGGAGGGGGGGTGCCCTTTTGCTCATCAGATTCATGCAAACACTATTATCGAACAATGTACATACATGTCCTGAAGAACACCTGCCAGCTCTAATCTTGTCCTACAGCCTTTTTTGGTAAATTGGGAAGTTTAGTCAAACAATTAGTACATGTCAAAAGTTAGGAACTTATGTACACATCAATTTAGCTCAGTCTCAAGGACGTGAACTGATCGCTCCCTAACAGGCTGGCAACCTCTCATGCTGTTATTTCCACCTGTTCGAACAGTACTCCAACTCGGCCATGCATCTGCATCAAATCAGTCTACAACCTTCTGCTGAAGATTAACTGATCTTGGCTGGAACAGTGGAAGAGAATAAAGAGGTGTTTAAAAAAAACTGCCCAAATTTCCGCTTGCCAGCTCCCCCCTGCATCTTATGGACCTGGGGGTAAATCAACCTGAGCCAAGATCAGCTGAACACAGGCCAGATCAAAGGATGTTCTACAGGAAAGCTTCTTATCCAGTCAGGGAAGGTCCACAAGATCAGTTTGGGGTCTTATTCAGTCAGGGGAGGTCCAGTAGATAAATTCTGGGTGTGCGTGAGGAAGTGAGGTACGCAGAAAGGGTGGTGATCACTGTAAATCTGGAGAGACATTTCAAATTTGCAATCTCTCATTGATACATGAATCAGATAATCATAATGTAGAACAAAGTATATTCTTGCCAGTGATTTGTAAAACTTTCAGTCATCCAGTTATTACCTGAAATGTGGCAAGAAGGAGAATAACTTTCCACATTTGAAGTGACCAAATTATAATTCATTTACTTTGGTGCCCTCTGCCCTCACAGGATTGCTTAAGAGACACAGATTAAGTCCCAGATACAATGGACCCTCCTTTAGCTGACATTCCAACCCCCACTCATGTCAACCTGCTGATCATGTCACTGTTATAACTCAATCTCCAGTCTAAATATAACCTGCACTGTTTGAAATCAACTCAGGCGTCACTGTGTGACTGTTGTCACCACATAGAGTCAAGGGTGCATGAAGCATGCGTGGCCACAAATTGTGCACAATAGAGATGACATGGCCACATTTTAATACCAGGCTCCTTCTGGGAGCTAACACACAAAACACAGATGGCCTGGTCTAACAGTAAGAAATAATTTCCACCAACGTGAAGCAAAATTAGCTCATCATGGACAGTGGTGTCTGGACAGTGGTCACTTAAATGGCTTGTTTACAACAAAAGGCATAGTAAGCAGAAGGATTTCCATAATGCCTTTTTAAAACTGGAAATTCCACTGCTAGTCAGTACTGAAAATTGCCAAACGTGGGAGGCTCGAAGTACTTCTTTGCTTCATACTTGCACCAGATTATGGACAGTTGCAGAATGACATCAACTGTTTGATAGCAAGTTGAATTCTTTCTTCAACAGGCTGCATGCTTCCACCTCTGAGCATTGTGCAGGTTCACCTTGGCTACATTACTAAAAGGTAATGCTGCATGTCCTTCAAAAAGAATGCTGCAAGCCACAGATTTCATTTTTAAGGAGCTAGACCCTGAACCTACACTTCTCAGAAGACATACAGTAGTAGTATGCCTCAGGGTGGATTGACCTAAATCAAAATAACAAATCACTTCCCGGACTAGCTGGCAAAATCTCTTATACTCTGACTTCTTCTTTCCACCTTTTCTAAAAAGGTGATAAAATTAAGTGCATCAAGCAATCACTGGTGCAGAAAGAAGTCTATGCCTTCCGCTAAAATTTCACTAGCTGTAAGACACGTGTTCAGGTGGTATTTCGAGCCCTAATCCACAGCTAAGAGACCACTGCCCTGATCACACCATAGCCCAGATACCAGGCTCTTCAAGCTTACTAATGCTGAGGATACTGCAGCAGTGTCTGTATAGTGCTAAGCAATAGCTTACATTAACAGGCTAAACCTTCTGACACTTGCTTGAAGGTGCTGAGGGGTTTTATAAAGTGGTAGTCCGGGACCCCGCAGTGCGGACATTGAACGGACGTGGAGTATTCCGAGTAGAAGTGCGTGCCCTGGCTGGGGTCGCGGACCGGCTTCCCGCAGGATTTACAACTCACGCGGTGCGGGCAGCACGGGTTGGCGGCGAGTATATCGTAGGTGTACATGGTGCCCAGCTGGTGCGAGCTGCCGTCCCAGCGTGCATTGCAGTTCTTGCACACGACGCAGGTTTGTATACCCATGAGGCAGTGCACGCAGACCGCGGACAGGTACAGCCACCGCCCCGACACGAACACTCGTATACTCTGGGCATTGTAGTCCTGCGGTGTGAGGAACAGGGTCCCGTCCACCAGAGGGTAGCGGTCGAACACAGGCAGCTGCGTGTTGCACAGGACGCACGGGATGGTGCTGACACGGTAGGCGGTCAGGTTGGACAGGACGAACTGGCGAGTGTCGTCCGCATGGCCTTCATCCTCCATCTTGATGTGGATGGGGTTCAGCTTGTCCGGAGGTAAGACACTGGAGATGACAGAACAGGCAAGTTCTTAAGCAATAAAAGAGTGAGACAATGAAAGAAGACATCAAAGGTGTACCATCTTCACCTTGAGACATCAATTCACACTATTATATTTAAATCTCACATCAAAACGCAGATGTGTGGTTTAAACCCATTCTTTCAAAACCATGCTGGAACCAAGCACACTCACTCGCTCATTCACTATTAAAGCACCTGCTTTATAATAATAGACATGCATATTTGAAATGTCTATACCTTAACCTTAGAATGTTAATCACACAAAAGGCCTACCACGTAAACAATAACAGTACGAGACAAGAAAAAATGTTCTTGAAGTGCTTGCAAGGTCATGGCTACTTTCTTGGAAACTACCAAGTGTCCTTGGTCATATCTGGGGAGTTCCGGACAAAATAGAATATCTGTCTGAAGAGTGACCTCACCTGATCTACTTTAAAGCTCACTATGGGTGCTTAACATAATACCATTAAAGTCAGCTGGTTGGGCAGCTTCAGGGGTTCTGGGCAATAGTGTTTTCTATAACGTCATTTGATCACATCCTACTCTATAACAAAGGCAAGTTGATTACTGCAAGGATTACTTCTATTTAAGAGTCTGAAACTCTTTTACAGATAATTTGGCAAGACTTGCGATTCCTGTATGGTGCAAAGTCCAGGTTGTCAACAATACCCCACCCTTGGCTCCCATATAATTTTTTGTTTACAATGCTATTGAAGCGTTTAATCAGCCTTCCCTCTAGCACAGAATCGAAGTGTTGGACACAGAAACGCTCGCAACCTAATCCGGTTTACGTCTCGAGCCTCTGATCTAATCTCCTATCAGAAGACAGTAGATCACACAAGGTAAACAAAGGAAAATCCCAACCACCTGTATAGAAGTGAGAGGTCGAGTCTCTTGGTGAACATGGAGGCGTTGTAGTAGTAGTTGCCACTGTTGTTGTCGGAGGACTGTGACTCGGTGCGACTCCTGCGGGGGGAGGGGGTGCTCTCCCACGGCGGGGAGGGGGAGGGGGCGTAGTCCATCGCGGTGCTAGGGGGGGTACTAGCCAGGCTGGTGTCGGAGAGGGTGGAGGAGGAGGAGGCATGGCGGTGGCGAGCTTTGACAGCCGCGGAGGGGGGTTGGCTTAGAGGACCCTTCCCGAGATCTGGCTTGTCGTTTTTCTTCTTCTTCTTCTGTTTCCTCGGCGCCACTGGCTCGTTGTCCACTCGCATGGCGGGGTGCTCTGGAGCTGGCTTCTCGGGGATCCAGTTCAGGTCCTTGCGGAGGTGACCCTTGCCACACTTGCAGGCGCAGGCACGGTAGGCCAGGTCGTACCCCTTCTTGGTCCACAGGTTCTGGCGTCGCTGCTTCTCGGACCAACTGCGCGCCCTCCCCGAGGACCGGAGGAACGTCAGCACGGTCTCCTCCCACTCCTCGAAGCACTGCTTGTGCATGTAAGGTCCCTCGGGGCAGCCGTCGTGGTTGCAGACCACCTTCACGACGTCCTCGGGGTTGGCCAGGCTGACGGGGCTGCCTAGCTGGCACCCCGAGGAGCCAGGCACACAGCACCAGAACTCGTGGTTGTTGTTCTCCTGCCCCGCTCGGTCACCATTCTCCCCGCCCGTGTGGTTTCCTGAACGGTTCCGGCCCCTCTCTCCCCGGTGTGGCATCGTGTGGGACCCTCAGGTGTTCCCCTAAACTTCCCTCAAGTTCACGAACACCTCCCACCTTACCCCTCCGTCTGTTTTTGTTTTGAAACCCCGAGACGTGGGCGGAGGAAGTGGACGTCTTGGCAAAACAAGGATGATAAATTTACTGCGCGCTGATTGGTTAGCCCCGCCGCGTAGTCGGGATTCCCGCCAGCTGATTGGCCAGCGATGATGTAGCACAATATGAAAGGTTAAAGGTCACCCGAGGCAAATTGTCACGGTTTTTAGAGTAGAGTAGAGTAGATTTCTTCGGCCACGTAGGAGCTTGGGTTCCAGTTTAGGCCGCTCCTCACTTTTAGTGCACCGACATCTCTGGTCTCTGAGGGTGATCCAAAGCTCTGTAGTCGAACATCAAGTTTCTCCCTTTCATGTGTAGATCTAGTCTTTCCTTGAAGGCATTTACACTGGGTGATGTCACCACTTTCTCTGGTAGGTTATTCCACCAAACCACCATTCTGTTGGCAAAGAAACAAGCCCTCTTGTTGCCATGTGCTGTCCTTCGTGCTACTCGCAGACAGTGTCCTCTTGTTCTGCTGTCTGATTTAAGTTCAAAGGGTGAGACTGTGTTGAATTTTCCGTGGATGAACTTGTATGTATTTATCAAATCCCCCCTGAGCCTTCTGTAGACCAGTGTAGGTAGACCAAGTGCTTTAAGTCTCTCGGTATACGGTAGATCTCTCAATCCAGGTACCCTCTTAGTTGCTCTCTTCTGAACCTTCTCAAGTTCTACCGCCAGTTTCCATGTGTGTGGTGACCACACTGAGACTCCATACTCCAGATGTGGCCGGATTAGAGATTTATACAGCAGCAGGAACACCTCTCTGTCTATGAACTCAAAGGTCCTCCACATGAGACCAGCCATCTGGTTGGCTTTACTTGTTATGGCCAAAATGTGTTTGCAGAAGTTCAGTTCTTCATCCACTGTAATCCCCAAGTCCTTTTCGTGCTGACTGTATACCAGGGGGATATCTATAGAACTATCCACCATGGTGTAACTGAAGTTCGGATGACCTTTCCCGAGTCGGATTACAGTACATTTCGAGGGATGAAAGCATAACTGCCATTTTCTTGCCCACTCCTGTAGTTTCTGTAGATCATTTTGAAGCACTGTGCAGCTTTCCACAAACTTCACTGGGCGGAAGATTTTGGTATCATCTGCAAACAGTTTGAGATCACTCTCAACTATATTTTTGTCGTCTAAATGCTGAATTTGGTGTTTTGTAGTAGCGATTGGTTATGTAATTTGTTGTAATGTATGATATTTCAGGAAATAAACTTAGATTCAAATCCAGTTCGAAAGCATTCTTCTCACAGACGCATCGCAAAGCCCCAGGCCATATTGCGCAATTTAAAGTTCCAGTTCGCACCACAACAGAGGGCGATACCAACTTGACTTTTAGATATACCAAGGAGGTTCAAAAAGGTCCATGGATATACAAAGGATGTTTTAGTACGTTTTCGTTTCTGAAATAAGCTATGTGACCTTCCCATTTACTTAAGTCCGTCAGAGTACTTCCCTTTTTTTCATAGTAAATAGATAAATATCTATTTAGATAATGCTTTCCAAAATCTTTGGTACTGTCATTTTGGTCAAGTTTGGTCAAACCCACCAAGCCTGTTGGGACATGCCAAAAATTGCCCTTGAAGCAAAGTCTTGTGTATGTCTTGGCATGTGTACCTTGGTAGAAAACCAGCAAATGTTGAAAACACTGTACAGAAGATCTCTGAAGGAGCTGGAAGTTGTGTATTTCAATGTTTCATTAATTTGCAATAAAACAATTATTAATCCGGACACAACTAATAAGAGTTGGGGCAAAATAAACTGGTTGTCAGATCATCTATGGTGCCCCCAATGGTTCAATAATTAGACTAAATCATGATGGGCTATTAATCAAAGATGTAAATTACTGACTATCCTCAAGAAACAAGGTCATAAGCTGCTGGTCCAGTCTTCAGGTAAGCCAAACCCTGGACATGTTTAACAACCCAGCCAGCACAATTGTCACAAACTGCTGAAGAGCTGATAAAATCAAGTCATTCAGTCTGTACACTGCTTGTGACATTCAGTGCCAACTCACAAGTACTGCATCAGTGACCACAGTGCCACAGGGCAGTTTACTGGCCATGTCATCCAGATTCAGAAAAGTCCATTCAACTGTATAACTCACCACACCTTTTCCATGAGGTTGCAATAGCTGGGGGGCTTCTTACCCATATCCACACAACCCATGTCACAAAAATAGAACTGGTTGTTGGACAAGGATTTACAAAGAAAAATTAAGCATGGTGTAGCAACATATGCATTTTCATTTGTACATAAGCATCTAGCAATTGCAATGTAATACTAGTACCAGGCAGGGGTATTGCATTAATTAGACAGAGATGTCCAGTTATATTTCAGTAACCGGCATTCAGTACCTGAAGGGTAAAGGTCAGAAAAGTATTGAAAAGCTTGTACAAATACACTGCATATTGACAAAAATATGATTGACACACGAAATAAAAATAACAGAGTGAATATGCTGTTAAGACTACTATGTAACTACATGTATGTCACAAAATACACAAATGACACGCTATTCTCCAGAAATGATAGTTTACTGGTACATGATCGGATACTATCTTACATTCATTGTAACAGCTGAAGGTAGAGTCAACCTTTTGCAATAGCATATCTAACATATTTACAGCTGATTATAATCATGATCAATACCGCTTCCTCTTCCATTGAAACTCCAAGAAACATAATATTCTAATATTTCTAAAACTGTGCGAAAATGTGTACAATACTATCTATAGCGCCCATTCCTCAAAACAAATAAAAACACCTCATTGAAGTACAATGTATACAGTGAAGGCACCCTAAAGCTGTGTAACCGCTATTAAATAGATGTACTGTTATACTTTTATTTGCAGATGGCAAAAAAAAGCCAATGCACGTGCACCTGCAGCATAATGTGTTATGAAACTGTATCAGATCTTCATAGACAAAATTGTAACAGTTTCTGACTGCCTCCAAAGATGTAATAGCCCAGGACCCAAAGATGCAGATACTTGTGCACGAAAAGGTAGGCATCTAGTCGTGGATCCCACTTGATGGTTGGTGCTGCCTTAAAGGCATCCAGTAAGGTTTTAGGGCTTGGAAACCCAATTTTTCAAAGCCAATATTCTAGCTATTTATCTACACACTGAGTTGAAACCACACTGTCCCAAATTATATTAACCCTCATACAGCAAAAATTCCCAATATTCTGACAGGAAATAGTTACTGGAAGGGCCCTGCGCTGATTTTTAGGGTAACGTTACCACCCGGAAAATAAAGGACTCATCTTGGGTCTTATTTCTACAGTTTTAAAATCCCATTTTATGAAATACTGACTCAAATGTGCTAATTTGAAGCAGTGTGTGTAAATATCATAAAGATTGCCTTATTCAGTTTTTTTTTCAGTATTGCTGCCCTGAAATCGCATTGGATACCTTTAAGTTATAGCCTTAAAACAAAAATTGTTCAACAAATGTGGCAGTACCTTACACAAACTGCCACAGCAGTGTGGCTAAAACCTTACCAATACAATTTGCATCCAAATGTTCTCTACAGTCGTTACATGATATTGATGACAGCAGAGTAGAAATTTACCATTAATTTTGTACTATTCCATCGCCATGGTAACATGTCCTGTTACCATGGTTACAGAATCCTCCACAATAATTATATGACATCAGACCTGTTGCCATGGTAACATGACCCATTATTATGTCATGTTACCATGGTTACAAACACATCATGTCTGGGATTATTTGTTGTCTGCTGAAGGCACAAATACAGGAAGTCTCTCACAACTCTACTTCAAATGTACATATGACAAATTTTTCTCTTCACCCAAATTTCACCCCAAAAAGGACTGATTTCCTAATCTCTATTTGATGCCCAAAATACATATTGAATTCAACAAAATGTACACAGCTTCTAAAGCACCCAGCCCTTGCCATTTAGTCACTTAATTCACAAATACAATTCCAGCCTATAAAATTCATACTCATTCAAACCATAATTTGTGGAAGCCACATCACCACAGCATATCTTTTGGGACAGGGCAGAAGTAGCCTTCACCAATTTCTGTTGAAACATAACCAACATTTAGATAAAGGGTGCACTAGCCATTCCTTTTTGCACATTTTGTACATTCCAAGATCCTCAGGTCTACAACACTGCAAGTAACTTTCTCCTGCTCTGTTGTACAAAATGATAGCCTGGATGCCAGGCCCCTAGCACACATGGTAATGGTATAATTTCCAACAGTCACTCTGGCATCCAGGCTAGAGAAATGAGAGTAGGCAGGCAATGTTTGCTTAGGATGATGACCTGTGTAACGACCCAGGAAGATCTAATGAGACTTCTCTCCAGGAGGCCTCATGCCTGCCTGGTCATCACCATATTTGGGTACAGTCAAGGGCTGTCCACTTATGTCTTACCAAGGACGTTAAAGCTCCTTGGTCTTACAAACTGACATTGACGTGACTCACAATGACTTCTTAGCTGAAGATCTTTTTAGACCTACACACCTTTCTATGGATTGACCTGCACACCTGCATTGCCTCACAAGTTAGTCTGGCAATTTGCCTGAAAGATGATGATTGCCACTAATAGTGCTTGCTGTCTGTCTGTAACATATTAGAAAAGTTCAGGAGGAATGTTGTGGTTCAGATTTCTGGTCGCCTGAGCTAAGCTTCTCCCAGTTTTTGCTACACCTAGCCTTCACACATTTAACAACTTGTTTAATGGACTTTTTTCTCACAGAATAAAGGTCATAAACAACAGTAGAAATAGTGTTGGCCCTTGTGCTGGTAAGGTAAGATTTTGTTTGTCCCAATTTCCCAAAACAGTTGGAAGATTCATTCAACAAGTTGTTTAATTTGTGTGGTCTCACCTTTGAATCTGTTTTCTAGATAACTCCCTCTTTCCATAGTGGGCTGGCCCACACCTCAACAATCTCTACAATAAATATGCCTGACATCTGGATGGTACCATTGTAACAAAAGGGGTGTTGGTTCTCAGTTCTTCTCGTTGTCCTCTTCCAGTCCCAACATGTCTTCTATCTCCTTCTCCCACTGTTCATTGGCCCCCTGGTCCACAACTTCATACTCCTAGGGGGAGGGTAGAAGTATAATAATACTGTTCATACAATGGTCTCACAAAGTTCTTTGTATACAACCAGTTTACAATCACCTGCTGACATTTCTGTGACCTTCCTGTTCACCTTCCACGGGGCAATACTAACTGGATACTGGTTCTACTTAGCACTACAGTTGGGGAACATTACAGTTCATGACTGGAGTAGATTTTCTGGTCTGTACAGGTGATTTTATTCTTACTGTGTACAAAGAGTGCAACTTGTTGCCCTCTCTTCCCCATTGTGGTGAATATCACACATTCACACTGTTGCAATGAATAAAGAAAGAAAATAACTTTTTTTAATAGTGATTTTTCCAGCCAACTAAATCTATACCCAGAGTGTTCCTATGATGTTTTAACAGAGGTATGAACCTAAGAGGAAACTAGAAAAAGTGACAAAACTGAAGTCGACAATATCCTACCTGCAGCTCCTTCTGTAGCTCTTTCTCCCACTCTGGCACATCTTCCTCTGTAAGACAGAGGTCAAACTAGTTAAGACACGTTGCAAGTAACCAATCTTCTTGTGCTCAGGTGCTCACCTACAGCCAGTGGTCAAACGGTGCAAAGATACCCTTCACGACATGAGAAAGCAAGCATGTAACATCTTCGAGACACAACACCTTAACATGTTTCCATTTGAAAGTAATTGTACTGCCTTCTTCCCAAACACCTGCCACTCTTAAACTAAGGTTCACCAATTTGCAAAAGCCCCAAAAATGCAGCTACTGAATGCAAGCATCTACAGCCGGTTGCTCAAACACTCCCAAACAAAAAACAACCTACTCTTTGGTTCTCCTTCTGTGGTCAACATAGGAAACAAACAAAGGGCAAATATTAACCACTAACACATGACAGCAATTGAAGCAGTTAAAGGAAGTTAGTAAATCATGAATAAAATCAAGAAACATAAAGGTTTACACTGTTGTAACTTGTAGTTTAATACTTGATGTACTGAGACCCAAGTCTACTGTCCTCAACATGTGTAAGGAAAGAAAGAGAACAACATGGATAATAATCTCTACTTTTGCTACACATTATAAAATGGATTGATGGAAAGAAAATACTTTTTATCTCCAATTCCAACAAGCATTTAAGACTATCCAATGGAAAGGCCCCTTTTATATTTGATTCCAGTAAGTTCCACTGTATCATACAGTCTGATTAGTCAGATCCCCCGTACCATCAGCTGTTGTCTCGTCCTTCTTGTCCATGCCCAGCTGTTCCATGGCCTTCTGCATCTCCTCTTCACTCACTTCTGTGCTGTGCTCAAACGCGTCGCTCGCAAACTCGTGCTGAGACGGGCTCGTGCCGAGGTCTTCTGAGCCAAGGTCAAACTGGGGCTGTAGAGGAGGTAGAGATGGAGACCATAAAACGTCTGGAGACAGGAAGGGCTACATCTTAAGACTATCTACCATCTTATAGACATATATGCAGTCAAGCATAGTCTTCAAGCAGAAGTTGATAGGCAAGATCATAACGTTTAGTAACTGCCCCGGGTTTTTTTACCCCAAACCTTCCCAACACCGCAATCTCCCCTCCTCACATCTGCTTAAAGACGAGTTCTGGAGGGACAGAGAAGAGACACACAAAGATGCCAAAAGCTTGTCGAATGTCTCAAGCAAAGCCACAGCCTTCTTAAGTACAAAAGTACTAACTTCTAGGTGTTCAAATCCATGGGAGGAAGAACTTGACGAATCCCCGTCCAACTGTAGGGAAACACAACATGGCTTCAAATCTGTTCAGCCAGGTTAATTAACAGGGACACACTTTGTTCAAAAATTTTATTGCTGCCACTTTCTGAGTCACTTACATACGTACAGCAACAACCACAACAACAGGTTAAATTTGTGAGTTACACCTGGATCAGAACAACCTCAGAAACTGGAAACCTTGTTACAAATACTAGTATCAGAGACTCTGAGTGTCACATGTGACTTTACACACGTCCAGACTTGGTCTCACCTGGGTGCCGGTCCCTCCCTCTATACTCTGTGGTGGAGTCTTTTCTACAAGAGGGACGAAACAAGAACATATTATTATTAGCAGAATAGAACACAGTAGTTTTACAGATGAGTGTATTTGACTTCAACATTTGTTACAGATTCAACAAATATTGTGTCTATCCAAATCTCGACTGGTCTGTATTTCTACACGCAGTATTGGGTACTGTCCTGGGTACTGAGAGATCTGCTATGAGATTACCAAAAGTACACAGCTTATAAATAGGTACCTCTCTTGCTGTCCTCCTGTGGTGTCTCCTTGTTGTCTGTCTCCTTGGGTTTACTGTTGTCCTGTGCCATGGAGGACAGCTGGGTCGACTGTTTGATCAGAGACACCCTGTAAAAGTAGTTCCTCCAGAAGTTCTCCTCTTGTATCCTGAAAGGTGTGGAGAGACAGGATTGGTCGATGGGTCACTGTTGTGATTGGCACATGGAAACCTATAGGGCTGTGATTGGTCAACAGAGATCCAAAGTTCTAAAGATTGGTGGAAAGTGACCTAGTGGGAATTTAATGATAGGTAATAGACACCAGATGTTACTATACGAGGACCATCTCGTATGTTCTGCTGAAGTATCTTATTGTTCAGGGATCATCTCAGAAGCTCTGCTGGCATTACTTACTGTTTGGGGACCAGCTCAAACCTCATCTTCTGGAGGTTGGGGTCTTCCTGAAGTGTTGCCATGGCAACAGGGAACATGGCCTCATAGTCGAACTGGAACTGCACGCCGGCTGGAGGGTTCCTCATGAAGTTCCTCTTGTCCTGGAGAGACACAGCAGGGTGTTAACTGTGGCCTGCTTCCAGTACATATATCATGTTGAGATGTATGGCTGCAAAGATGGTGCCCTCAGCATTTGAAAACTGTCTTTTCAATTGAATTCAAATGCTGAAAATCAGTGACATTCTTGGTGACCTTTACAGAGAGGGAGCTCAGTAACTGATGTCCTTTTTTGTGCTCAGAAAAAAAAAATAATGCATGAAATTATGGTTCTTTGTTGTGACAGACTATATGTAAAAGTCCCCACTACTGACCTGTGACAGGGCCAGGATCTGACTCTTCATGGCTGCCTCCTCATTATAACCAACCCAGGGGGGCACGGCAGCTTCTGTGGAACAGGAACAGCACAAGAGTAGGACATCAACAACACATTGGTAGGACAAGAACAACATCAGTAGTACATGTACAAACAAAACTTTAGGCAGCAGGGCTGGGCCATCACCACATGATTGTCTTGTCACCACCTATTAGCCTAAAATGGTCTGAACAAAGAAAGCGACCTTAAAACACCAAAACCCCCAAACATAATCATCATTTACAACAGAATTGAAGCATACCGAAACCAAGCATATTACATTCTGTATGGCAGGTATCAAACAAAATACACATACCCCTCCGTGAAACTTCTGCATTAGAAGGAAAAAGAAAGGTGGTCAAATTATATACACAAACACACACAGAAAAAAAACTTTTGGTGTGGGTCAATGTAAATGGATGTACTGGATGATAAGAAGGCCACAAAGAAGTGAGACTGATAGAAAATTCCTGAAGTCATGGTTTCATCTCTCACCTGTTCTTATCTGTTGTTTCTCCTGTAGAAATTTCTCTTGTTCCCTCTGAAAATCACCTAGAATGGACTGGAGTAAAAAGAGATAGCAATCAAAACTAAAGACGTTCACAAAAACAGATTTACTGGTATTAAGAAATTCTTTTTAATATTATATCTTTTACACCAGCCATCATGTAAATCTACTTCTACTGGGTGTTTTTATTTTGCTTCAGCTCATCATTACAATTTACTTAACAAAGGAAACCATTTCCACATCAACAACAACAAAGCAGATGTGTGAAGATTTTCTCACAGTTTCTGACAGGTCCTTTGCTGTTTGCTGGACAGACTTGGTGACCTTCTTGGCCTGCTGGGTGGCCGTCTTGGTGGCGGAGGTCGCAACGCTGACCAGAAAACCTGCAGCACGGAAACACAAACAAGAAAACAATGACTGGGACGTGATACTAAGTATCCAAATCTGATTGATCTTATAACTAGCAAAACAGCAGTTTTGTGACTAGAGCAAAAATCTGTGTTGAATCACTGTAATTGGGGACTGCTAGGCTGTCAGAGGTTAACTTGTGTTACATAATTTCTCGCTATGAAGAGCTGACAGGCTGGTTCAGCACTGTTCATTGTTCAACCTCAAATGAGCAAGGTTATTTATCGAGTCTGTAATGTTATGAACTGTTAATAAGTTATAGTGTCTTTCCTTCGATTTACACAATCAGTGCAAGAACATGTCTAGTTTTATATCAAGCTAAACTGGGTTCTAGATTTTTCTTTCTATCTTTACAACTTTTCCTATATTTTCCTCACCAAAACAAAGAAATACACAACGTGTGTCGAACTGCGCCATTCTATTGTTTACACCTTTTGGACACCTGGATTCGCCTGAGGGCAGGTGTGATCGGACAGGCAGCTAGGTGAGTCATATTGTTCAAAACAAAGACCATGTATGACCACAGGAGGATTACAATGGATTCTACAGGTTACACTGAGACAATGACGCGTCACTCACTGCCCCATGCCTTGGCTGCTTGTGTGTAGTCGACTTGTTCTCCTCCGCCTTCTGGAGTTTTCGTCTCAGACCCACTTTCAGGCGAGGACTTCTCTTCTGCTGGTTGTTCTTCTTTGGTCTCGCTGTTGTCCCCCTTTTCGCCTACTTTCTCCTCTTCTTTGGAATTTGTAGCGGCCTGGCCTCCCCAAAAGCTACTAAACATGGTTTGTTGTGTAGAAATCCACCTTGTTTTGTAAGAAAATCGAATCTAAACGTGTCGAAATCAAGATATCAACATACTTTCATCACCGTTTGTGACGTCCTCTATCAATCTGACCTGTGACCCGTGGGTTTGGCTCTCGCGAGAAAATCTCGCCATGGACGGGAATTCGTGAGATTTGGTGCATGCTGGGAGCGGATCTTCCTCTTTCCCTCTGCTTCCAACATGGTGGGTAAAAAATATGTGACACCTTCGTTTATCTGTCGTAATCTGGAGTAAGGATGCGTTATAAAGGTCGAAATCTATGCTAGAAACCTAAGTTAGACAATAAAGGTGTTAGAAAATTGGAAATGTTGGTGCCTACACGTATTTGAGGGTTGTTTTCACTTGAAGTATGCGCGGTTGCTTACGTTGAAATCGTGTCCTATCCGTCGGCATTTTGTGCAGATCGAGACACAGTTTCTCAGTGAATATGTGTTTTATACACTAATGCGTAAATAAAATGACAACACTTGTTTAGTGAATGCCGGTCATGTTATGCGTGTGTCTGTAGTCACTATTTTGACGTTAAAACGTCGATACATAGTCGCCAATATCCATGAAATCCTTGCTAACTTTCTCATGATCAGATGTGTGTGTTTCGAAACCCGAACTTATGGCTTCATACTTTTGTGTCCTTCTAGGCGCGAGGTCCGAAAAAGCATTTGAAGCGCCTTGCTGCGCCGAAGCACTGGATGCTGGACAAGTTGTCCGGCAAATTCGTAAGTACCTTCAGTCCTAAACCTTTCCTCCAAAGAATATGACCATTTATTATGAGATTGATCAAGAAAAGATGGTCACTAAAAATTTATATTTTCGAATATGTTGCATATTTTAAGTGACTTGAGTAACTAAATTGTGTATGTAGAATAACTTAAGGTGACCACTGTTTTGAGAACAAAGAAGATGAACTTGTTTACATTGGTGAAGGTTAGACATCCATGTAATAAGATACGCCAAAATGCAAAAAAACAGTTACTTAAGCATCTGGATATGATTTTGAAAACAGTAAGATGTTTCAGGTAGTTGCCCTGATCGAAGCCATGCTAGATTTGCTAAATTATGCTAGGTGTGGTCAAAACAGGGCAGAGATGAACCATTTTCTCATTGGTCACTGGGCTGACCAATCCCATGTCTCCTCAGCATTACCCAGGGAAAAGACACATGTCAATCAATCAATCATTCAATCAATCAATCTTAACATTCAAAGCAGTCATGTTGTTAAAAAGAAGGCCATCATAATTTAGCAACAAACTATCAGTTGAACTCAAGCAAATTATACTTCTCTCCTTCCTTTAGGCGCCGCGCCCGTCCTGTGGTCCCCACAAGCTGCGTGAGTGCCTCCCGCTCTGCCTGTTCCTCAGGAACCGGCTCAAGTATGCCCTGACCTACGATGAGGTCAAGCGAATCCTCATGCAGCGTCTCATCAAGGTGGACGGCAAGGTCCGTACTGACCGCTGCTACCCCTCCGGATTCATGGGTGAGTCATTCTGGTTTATGTGCACATTCTCTCTTGCAGTATGGTACCCCCAAATAACAAAGTGGGGGGGAGGCCCTGGGTTAGAGGCCTCTAGTGACCATTCCATTCTCAGAGAGGTGGCCAAATCAGCCTGATAGCTAAGGATAGCGTAACACGGGCAGCTAGCCAAATACTAGTAAATATCATGTAGTGTTAGCATAACCTTTTTTTCCTCCAATGGAGAAAGCTTATAAAATTTAAGGAGAAAGTTTACAAACACAAGTGATTGCTTGTGTAGAGTTGCTCAGTACTGTATTATGTTGAAAAGGAGCTACAAGGCGGTAATGAACTAAATATTGATGTTCTTTTCCATGTAGATGTGATCACCATTGAGAAGACTGCTGAGAACTTCCGGCTGATCTACGACGTGAAGGGACGCTTCACCATCCATCGGATCACTCCTGAGGAGGCCAAGGTAACATCTCAAACTGTCTAGCAGTACTGATTCATCATTTCTACTGGGAACTATACTACCCCTACAGAAACAGACAGTTTGACAGAAGTAATAAGTTATTTTCCACAAGTAATAAGTTATTTTCCACTTCCCTCTTCATCCCGTATAGTCATGTGCAAGTTGTTTCAAAATTGGTGGCAAATTTTACTTGTGACTTGAGTCATGGGTTTTGTATCAAGTTTTGCCAGTACTAAGTCGTGCTGTGGTAGCTACACTTCTTCTGATTGCAAAATCTAAGGTTTAACTTGACAATTTTACAGCTTTGTTTCCCCATATTCATCATCCATTTTTCTCCTGTTCAGTACAAGCTGTGCAAGGTGAGGAAGGTGATGACTGGACCCAAGGGAATCCCGTGCCTGGTGACGCACGACGCGCGGACCATCCGCTACCCTGACCCTAAGATCCAGGTCAATGACTCTGTGCAGGTGGACATCAGCACCGGGAAGATCACCGACTCCATCAAGTTTGATACAGGTGAGGGTCCTTCATTTATCCCATCTCACTTAGGCCTAGGAAAAAAATGTTGTTTCCTGTTTCCCGACCAACCCTAGAAAAAACAAGGAACATCAATTTTTCAAGCTAATAGACCATTTCTACCTCCATGATCTGACATATAATGAGTGATGACACATTCTACAATCAGTTTTCCAGCATTGACACTGACTTCATGCAAGTTTTACTTATTGTAATTTGTACAAGTTCAATCATTAGAGCTTGCCGACCCTAATTTTTTCAGTACTGAAACAGGAAACGCAACATTTTTTTCTAGGCCTTACAGTGAATGTTCCATTGAAGGTATGACATGCAGGTAAAACAGGTAGCATAAGCACGCAGTATTTCGAGTCCTGGAGTTTATAGCAGCCCTGATCGAAGCCATGCTAGATTTATTTTTTGCTAGGCGTGGTCAAAACAGGGCAGAGATGAACCATTTTCTCATTGGTCGCTGGGCTGACCAATCCCATGTCTCCTCAGCATTACCCAGGGAAAAGACACATGTCAATTAATCAATCAATCAATCTTAACATTCAAAGCAGTCATGTTCCTAAAAAGAAATCAGCCATAATCATTGATAGCATTACCAGACTTTGTATGACTATAGCAATGAACATGCATGGCACTGCCTTACAGTGGGGCCTTATCTATACATTCATTACATATAACAATAATACACAATTGTAAACATAAACAAACTTGATACGTCAGTGAAGGTTAGACATCCAGGTAATAAGATAGTCAAGAAACAGTTCCTCGAGCCAGTGGATATGATTTTGGAATTGGTCAGACATTTCAGGTAGCATCCACTACCTTTTGTCAGTGACACTGGATTTTTGCTCAAGCACTATTATTTTTCAACAAAACTGATTGTTCTGATGTTTCCCCAGGCAACGTGTGCATGGTGACTGGAGGCCGTAACTTGGGACGTGTCGGTCTGGTCACCAACCGCGAGCGCCATCCCGGATCCTTTGACATCGTCCACGTCAAGGACTCCGCGGGCCACACCTTCGCCACCCGTCTCTCCAACATCTTCATCATCGGACGGGTGAGTCTGACTTCCACTTCTCATTCATTTCTTCCCTCCTTTTGGGAGGGCTGTTTAGGTTGTATACAATAATAGAATTTAGACAGTCTTGCTATTGCTTTTTTCATGTGTCAAGTAGAACTTGTATAATATATCTTGATAAAGTAATGCACTTGTCAAGTAAATTTAATTGCAAAAGCCTGACACCCAATAACACAGATTCTAACAAATTTAACAACAAATGTTGAGGGCAGCATGCCTTTTTTTTGTATGCGGACAAAATTTTAAGATCCTTTGCTTCATCCCACAAAACCTGGGAACTTTTTGAAACTTTGTGCTACTTCTAGTTTAGAATTCTGTTTGAAAAAATGAAGTTTGCTGCTGCATTGTAATAGTTAAAGTAGACATGATTTATTTCTTTTCCTGCCATTAAGTGACAAACTGACAGTCTGTTTTGTTTGCTTCCTCCCCAGGGTAACAAGCCGTGGGTGTCGCTGCCCAAGGGCAAGGGTATTCATCTGTCCATCGCAGAGGAGCGCGACAGGCGGCTGGCCCTCAAGGCTGCCACAGCTGTATAGAAATCATAATGAAGACCCACAAATAAAGAAAAACACTGTCCTCATACAAACCCTGGTGTCATGTTTTTGTGGTGAATGAAAGAAGCAGCCTGGGTACCATCTGGATTTTTGCTCCGCAGCGCTTTAAAAAAATCACTTTTTTCAAGTGTTGCGGAGCGAAAATCCAGATGGTACCCAGGCTATGAAAGAAGATGAATGAAGGTATTATTTGGGGTGGGTTTGTGTGTATGCAGATAGGTTGAATGTAGAGAGGGTCCCGTTGGATATTAATTTGTCCTGAAGGAAGTGGGAGGTACTTGGAAGAATTCAGGAAGTTGTTTTGGGTGGCTGCATTGTTGAGTTTGGTGTCCTGAGAGAGTAGGTTGACAGCACAGGTGGAAAATTGATACTAGTACATCAAAAAGTGAAAGGTCTCCAAGTAGAGTAGTTAAGCCTATGAACACATACTAAATCCTTGAAGTGGAAGGCAAATTGATCGAAGATCCTTGAAGTTGAGGGGTTATGACTATGCTTTGATCTGAAGTGGCCAAATTTGATTACATGTTCTTGTATTACCAAACTGCTGGCATGGGAAAACTAAGTCAAGTCCGTTCAATCAAAACTCAATCACTACAGCAAGTTACTAGTGTAGTACAGGTAACAATGCACCAGGGCTGGTAGTTCGAAAGCGCCGCCTATTGGGTGTAGTACAAACAACAGGCTGCGGTCTTCACACTCGGTCTTTGACGTGAAAATTTGACCTTTCAAAATCCCGAATGTACCCGCATAGCGAACGTCTTATGGCTTATGTCATTCTTGCTATGCTGGGCTACTGGAAAATAGTAGAAATTTGACCAAATATACCAGAGGAGTTAGCCAGCCACATGGTCGTGGTTTACAAAGTGTACTCCTTTGGCCGTCTAACCTCTGCACTGGCATATTAGTCAGTCTATTTGTTCAAATCTTCTTTCCAGCATTGGAGTATGGTAGAGACTAGTTCTGCCTGCTTTCAGGCAACAGTCCTATACCCGCAGATAATGTTCTAGTATATGTATTCCTCTAGACAAGTTTATCAAGCTGAATTTGACCAAGGCTCCTTGACTTGACACACGAATCAGCCGTACGGTCAAGCTCACGTCAGTTGAACGGAAGGCAACAAGTCGAGGGGCGGAAACCAGTTGACGTTAAAGCAGATATGATGACGTCAATATCTACGAGACTGTTGTGAACTTGAGCTCTTCTCTTATCTGAAGTTCTCTAATTGCGGGAGCGTTTTGCGTCATTAGATTCTTGGCTCGTACTTGTAGTTGAATTTCAACCACTCGGTTGCGCGCCTTCTAACAAACAGTGTTACAAATTGTTCACTCGGCAGCTGATTACATGTTTTCCTGGGTTTTGTAATGACGAGTTTTGCTCCCTCCGCCCGTCTTCGGGGAGCGTCGACCTCGCAACATTTCGATTTTTCTACTAGACTCTGGAGAAACGATGTGTTCGTTATCTGAAGTATGTAATTATAATCACCGCTTGCGTCACGACGAAAATGTCATATCGGAGCTGGAGAATTAGCGAAGTTCAAGGAGAGGAAATTGCTAGTAGATCATGCAAGATGATTAGAAATTAGGTAACGTGATTTGAAGGAAAGTCGGAGGTCGTGTCCCCAATGATCCAGGACGACTTTTGGGTCCTTGGTTTGGTTTTCCTTTAAGCCCACGATCATGATAATGGACATTCTGTCGTACTCATTTTCATCTGAGCGGGATCTAGTGAGGAAAGTCGTATAAATTGCCTTTCCCAAGGGCACAAGGTTGGTAACTTTTCAGGATTCGAACCAAGGACCTCTTGGTTCTGAGCCCAATACGCCACACAACCGTTTTTTTTTTTCAAGCTGAAGACGTGTTGGAGTAGAACCGCCAACACGACCGGGCACAACAACCTCCTCTAACACTGCTTTAGGTGTTTAAATTGTGAAATCCAAGAAACTGCATTTGTTTTAAATTTTCAACAGGTATTTTGAAGCCAGGAACGTGGCCAGTTATCTGCAGTTTTCAAGTACCGCCGCCAGGGGTCACTTTACGGTCTCCGAGCGAAATGTAACACAGAGTCTCCCAATGTAACAGTGAAACAGGAAAACCAAAAACGTCATTCATAATTTTGGGGAAATGACAGCACTGAGACGGAATTTGACCGGTTTCGACTTTCAACTCAAGAATGACAGAGTTCGGACCACTTGAAAAAACCAAAAACGATTTTCCTATTCTTTTCATTTCACTCATTTCCACAACCTCCTTTCTGTTTGGAATACTATCTTGTCAGTCGGTAATACGACTTTGCCACCAAAAGATTTATTTAGGATTTGTTTAGGATCCGTAAAAATCCGTAGTTCGTATCTGTGAATTCGGAGCAACGACAGGGGATTCGCGTTTCAAAATAGGTTTTTAATTTGTATCTGGCACATATACCGACGCTATGAGCGTTGTCCATTAATGTTATATTGTAAGGATGCAAAAAAAATACCTCTGAAATCCGTCCCCGAATCTGTGAGAAATACGTATTTGGGATTTTTGTCGTATCCAAAAGAGTCCGGATAACAGGATCCGAAATTTCGGATACGTGACAGATCCGACTTGCATCCGCTCGTATATGCTCGTATTCTTAAAAGATACGACAAGATAACGGTCCGGATATGACTGTATCTGAACCTATTTTGTCCAGTGAGTACTTTCAGACTTTAAAAAGAATAGAAAGTTTCAAATTGACGTTTTAAGAACACGATTTTTGCTGACAATTTTGGGCAGGACGGAAACCAGCCCACCTGACAGCCGGACCAGGTGTGCCGTCTCCCGGACATCAAAGAGCGCCGCTCACGTGTGTCACCGGAGAACAAAAACCGGCGGACAGCAGCATAAAATAATGATGAGTCTGCGGGACAAAGAAGGGAGCGTCTGGCGGGCTGTTCTCTTAACCCCTGACTGGCAACAGGACAAACAAGACTTACCAACCAGTAACTATCGTAGGACAGGTCACACAGGGCACAACCTGACTTCAAATGTTTGTCTTATCAAACCAGAATTTCTGTCTTCAAAAATCTCATTCTTTTCAACAGAATTATCAAGAGCACTTTATTATTGGATATCCTTATTGGTGGATGGTAAAATACACACATTGAGCAATATAACAAATGTATATACATTGTATGTCAGGGTACTCCGATTGTACCAGCAGAGACTTTGATCGGGATCTCCGTCGGTAGAATTGCCGATTCTACTGAGATCAGAGTCTCTACCATATACCGTACTAGAAAAAGTGAACCTTAACTGTAATATCAATATAACGTATTGTTTACGTTAAGATAACGTAAACTGTAATAATATCAAAAGAAGATATAGAAATCTTCCTGGGGAAGTTTCTTACTCCGACATCAACTTGGTGTACAATATAGACTCTTCGATATTGTGTCTTCCAGAAAAATTCCTTTCCCTCCCAGAAGCAGTTTCCCACCAAAGCCAAGTTTGTTTAGCGCTGTTTCCTGTCTGATCAACGGGGCGGGACAAAACTTCCCCTCCGTCCGCCGGCTCGCTCGGTCAGGAAATGAGGGAAATTCGCTGTTTTCCCAGAGACTGCTGGAATGTGTGGAACTCCAGGCCACACCACGGCCCTCTGGCGGCTAAACTAACGGTAGAAATTAGCTAAACATGGTCATTAAGGTTAGCCGCAGGGCCAAGTGGACCTTTTCTGGTCGTCCGACTCTTTTGGCGATTTTATACCCTATTTGGTCCATTTCTGCTCAGTCTAATGTTAATCCAGCCGCCAGAGGAACTGGGACTTCTAAACCCGGCCGGGTACCCCCAAGGTCATTTTTGTCTTTCTTTTCTCGAATCAACATCATCTGTCTGTTCGAAAGAAACGAAATGTTTTTTTTTTTTGTGTGTGTGTGTGTTTTAACTGCAATCCAAATGAGCCAATACCTACTATAGTTCTTTATATGCGAGCAAAGTGTATTATATAGATCGTTTGCTACCAAAGAAGCTTGCAAGCTTGGTGATAAAAGTTTAGTCTCTTCCCCATCAGTCGGCTAAGGCTACATTGGGACAGGAATGTGCAATAAAGGTCTTCAACTGTCTCTGACACACGTCCCTTTCCGTCAGTGCGCATTGACAGGGGAAAAGTTTGTTTTCAGTATAGAATTTGCGACAAAAGGCCTTGCCACATACCGACCACGTTCAAAAGTCCGCCAAGGGCGACGAAGCGTCACTCCGGTCATGACGTCACGATGTTGTTTGTCAGCCATGATGCAGACGTCATCATGAACCATGTTGTTCTGTCAGTTTGGATAATGACGGTTTGAATGTTTTAAAGTACTTCTTATGTACATGTAGATGTAAGTATTGTTTGTGTCTAACAGCCGGGGCCTCTCTAGAAAACAACCGAATAAATGAATGACGACCTTTTAGTACGTCATTTCAGGCCGACTGACAGAGTCTTGGGTACTCTGGTGGTAGATACTGTGATAAAAGTAAACAGAAATTAAATAATCACGCAAATTGACAAGTTTTCTGAATAATCAGACGTTTCAGGTCATTCTCAGCTGCCATTGACAAAAGATAGCGGATATCGATGCTATTTGAATCCAGTTACTTGATCGATTTTATATTATGTGATATCAATAAAGATTTTCCCATGTTTCTCCTGGCATACACACTGAAGGTTACTGAAGAGCACTGAACGCTCATAACACCCGTCGCCATTCAATTTCAAATCAAAAGGCCGCTGTAGTGAGTGCTTGCTTGTTAGTGAGTGAGAAGAAAACATACATGAGTATGTTATATAAACCTCTCTATTAGCCGTGGTTTTCTCCACGTAAACACTTGAGCACACTCCGCACCTGTGCTGAAGGGCACAGATTGGTCTTCAAAACTGCTGATCTTGACGTCGGAAGTCATACGTGACGCACTAGACCTCGATCAGACTTGTTCTGCGTGTCCGTCGTTCTCAGCCTGTTGTACACAGGTGGTTGTCCACGATTATTTTCTTTCTCTCCAAGCAGAGGTAGGTAGGTAGGGAGAGAGAGAGA